CCTCCTCCCCCCCCACCTCCTCCCCCCTCCCACCTCCTCCCCCCTCCCACCCTGCGCTGAAGAGCAGGTGTCTTGTATGCGTGTACTGCTGCCTGCTTTTGACAATCTCCTTCTAAACCCTTCAGAGCCCTCCACGAGCCATGTCCTGCTGTGTAAGGGGTTCCACTCTTGTCCCTGGAAATCACATAGATGTTTTAAGCGGCTGTAGGGGACCCTGTCTTTGGATGAGTCCTTAAGACCTCCCACATCCAATCCCTGCAGGGATCCCCACTGAGCTGGGCAGGTCTCTCGGCCTCATGAGCGGAGGTTTTTCTCTGGAGATTCCGCAGCCAGGACCACTGATCACCAGGACCGTGATGGGCTGGTACCTGGTTCTCAGTGACGGTCTGTGGCCTGACATAGGGGCAGAGGGTCAGCCCTGGGGCCTCCAGATGGCAGTGCCTTGGTGGTTCTCACCTGAGAGCCTGCCTGTGTGCATAGCCTGCTTTAACCCGGCTGTTGGCCACCTGACTTCTGAGCATGTTCCCAGCATGTGTTTATTAACAGGCAACTTGTGAAACGCCTCATTTCCAGGGCTCAGCCACACTGGGTCACAGCTGTGTGGGCCGTGATGTCTCAGAAGCTCCCTGTATCGGGAGAGCCTATCCGTGGGTGGAACGGGGCTCTGAGTGCTACTTGCTGAAGGGATCCTCTTACTGCTCCTGATGCATAGTTCAGCTTTTAAAAACACACTTTGAGCCTAAAAGACGAGATCCAGAAATTTCTCGACAGCTCAGACCTGCCCGCCCTGTGCTGTGTGGCTTGGCAGGTGGAGTGTCGTGCACAAAACCTCAGGCTGGGAGGAGAGGGAGCCCGCAGCGGGCAGACGCCCTGGTGACCATGTGCCATCCGTGCAGGGTGTGGAGGGCACAGGCCTGGCCTTCATCGTCTTCACTGAGGCCATCACCAAGATGCCAGTGTCCCCACTGTGGTCCGTGCTCTTCTTCATCATGCTCTTCTGCCTCGGGCTGTCATCCATGTTTGGGAACATGGAGGGTGTGGTTGTGCCCCTGCAGGACCTCAAGGTCATCCCCCCGAAGTGGCCCAAGGAGCTGCTCACAGGTGCGTGTCAGTCGGGGGGGTCCCTGTGGCAATGGTGCCACCTGTGAGGTAGCAGCCTGGGCGTGTGGGCAGCTCTGTCCCCCCGGGCCTGTGAGCAGCTCTGTCCCCCTGGTGAGCAGCTCTGTCCCCCCGGGCCGTGAGCAGCTCTGTCCCCCCAGTCCTGTGAGCAGCTCTGTCCCCCCGGGACTGTGAGCAGCTCTGTCCCCCCGGGCCTGTGAGCAGCTCTGTCCCCCCGGGCCGTGAGCAGCTCTGTCCCCTTGGCCTACAGGCCTCATCTGCCTGGGGACATTTCTCATTGGCATCATCTTCACGCTGAACTCTGGCCAGTACTGGCTCTCCCTGCTGGACAGCTACGCTGGCTCCATTCCACTGCTCATCATCGCCTTCTGCGAGATGTTCGCTGTGATCTACGTGTACGGCGTGGACAGGTAGGGGCCACGGTGGGGACAGATGCCTCTAATGCAGAAAAGCCAGGTCACAGGGCATTCCTGTGAGGGAGGAGCCAGCCGTGTTCCGGGTCCAGAGGGAGAGGCTATGACTCGGGGCTTCAGCCGGCCGTGGAGTCTGGTGTAGACCTGCCCTGGCAAGAACAGAGGGCATCAGCAGGGCCCCGGCTTGCAAGTAGTGGGAGCTTTGTGCTGCTGGGAGCCAGACGCCCGGTGGAGCCCTGACCTTGGTGGTGCCCACCCAGGAAGCCAGAGCTGCGTGTTCAAAGCCACTGCAGGGCCTGTAGCTGGGATGCCCCATGTGTGTGTGTGTGCGTGTGCGTGTGCGTGTGTGTGTGTGTGGCGGGGTGCTTTATTTCCCTGGTGCTCCAAGCCTTTCTAGCAGGCACAGAGGCTCCAGCAGTGCCACAGAGCGTCAGACAAGGGAAGGCAGGGACACAGACACCGTCAGCCGTCCGCTCAGCCAAACATCCCAGGCACTGGCTGCCACTGCCGGGCAGGACCTGGAAGACGGGGGCTCTCCGTGGCAGGGCTGGGCGTGGTGGCTCACGCCAGTAATCCCAGCACTTTGGGAGGCCAAGGTGGGCGGATCACTTGAGGTCGGGAGTTCAAGACCAGTCCAACCAACATGGTGAAACCCCGTCTCTACTAACAATACAAACGTTAGCCAGGCACGGTGGCACATGCCTATAATCCCAGCTACTCAGGAGGCTGAGGCAGGAGAACTGCTTGAACTCGGGAGGTGGAGGTTGCAGTGAGCTGAGATTGTGCCACTTCACTCCGGCCTGGGCGACAGAGTGATGCTCCATCTCAAAAAAGAAAAGAAGAGAAATAATTGGACAGACTCAGTTAACACTGAGCAGGCACAGCCCTGCAGGAAGCCTGTCCTGTGTCCCCGGCAGTGGGATTTGTAGGACACAGGTGCAGGAAGCTCTTCAGCACTGGGTGAGTGAGGACAGAGCTCGCACCAGCCCAGGGCAGCCATGGGAAGGCTGAGGGACATGGGCCCGCCAGCCATGCTGTTCTAGCCACAGGCAGATATTGGCAAAGCACGTTCAGGCCCCGACGTGGGGATTAGCTGCAGGCTGGCGCTGCAGGGTGTAAAGTGCATGCATAGCCGTCTAAATGTTGAGCACGTGGGACCAGCTCCTCCTCACATGCTTCTGGGGGCACCGGGAGTGCCCCTCTGGCCACTGCAGGCCTGGGACCAGCTTGGCTGCACCTCCTGCTTGCTCCATCTTGATTTCTTCAGAGGATAAACTCCTTTCACAGAAGAGGGTTCAGCAGAGGATGGGCATTGAGGGTGGGGAAGGCGTGGGGTTTTCCGACTTCAGGGTGCTGCTAAGGAGAATCTGGGGGTGTTCGCAGTGCTCCCTCCTCCATCCCCCCATTCTGCACTGGTGACTGCCCCAGACATGGGTGAGGGCAAAGCACCTCTGACCATGGGCGTGCCTTCGAGCACTTGCTGGTGGTATCGTAGGGCAGAGAGAGCTGCTGGCCATGCCCGCAGAGGGTCTGCTTGAGGAGGCGCCCAGGGTCAGGATGGAGGGCTGGAGCCCTGGCACAGGGAAGCCAGGCACCTCACAGCATGATGCCATCTGCCGGGGCAGCAGAATGCACAGAAAGCTTGGCGACCTGACGTCCTCCTGGTGGCACCAAGAGCATGCTGTCCACAGCCGCCTCTGGCCTTGCTTGGCAGGTTCAATAAGGACATCGAGTTCATGATCGGCCACAAGCCCAACATCTTCTGGCAAGTCACGTGGCGCGTGGTCAGCCCCCTGCTCATGCTGGTCATCTTCCTCTTCTTCTTCGTGGTCAAGGTCAAAGAGGAGCTGACCTACAGCGTCTGGGACCCTGGCTACGTATGTGCACAGGCCGTCTCCTGGGGCGGGGCAAGCGGTGGGAAAGGGGAAAGGAAGGCACACATCCGCGCATGTGGCACGTGCACACGCAATACACACACCCACTTACACGGGCACGACTCACACTCACACTCGGGCAGCCCGACCACCACCCCATGCATCTTACTGGATCCCCCCTCCATGACACCACGTGAAGCATGCCGTGGACTGGGCCTGCTCATGCCATCCCAGGAGGGAGGTGGGTGGGCTGGAAGGTGGTAGGTGGGGGAAAGGGGAGGCTAGAGGAACCCTCGGCCACCCCACCCATCCCACAGGACAGGAGGTGAGAGTCATGGGGTGAGGGGCCTTTGCCCCAAAGTGAACCCCGCTGGCTCCCAAGGCCTACTCACCCACAGGGCTCTCTCCCCAGGAGGAATTTCCCAAATCCCAGAAGATATCCTACCCGAACTGGGTGTATGCGGTGGTGGTGATTGTGGCCGGGGTGCCCTGCCTCACCATCCCCGGCTATGCCATCTACAAGCTCATCCGAAACCGCTGCCAGAAGCCAGGAGACCGCCAGGGGCTGATGAGCACGCTGTCCACAGCCTCCGTGAACGGGGACCTGAAGTAATAAGCAGGCCTAGTCCACAGCGTGCCACACACTGGTGGTGTCGGGGAAGGAGGAACCCGCAAGACCCCTGGGGTGGGGGCCAGGCTGCCCCTGCGTGTATGTGACCATGTGTGTTCGTGTGTGAGGGTGTATATTGTAGATGCATATGCCATGTGGACAGATGTGTGTCATGTGTGTGTGCATGCATATGTATGGGCATTGTGTGAGTGTGCATGTGTGTGTGCATGAGTGTGTATGTGCATATGTGTTGCCCATGTGTGTGTGCATGTGCATACGGATGTACATGTGCATACATATATCTGCACCTGCATGAGTGTTGCGTGTGGTGTGCATATGTGTGTACACACCTGTGTGTACATGCATGCACATGTGCTCATATAATGGGTGGGCACATGCATGTATGTATACATGTGAATGCATATACTTGGATGCAACTGTGTATGTGTTGTGTGTGTGCATGCATGTGTATACACACATATGTATATGTGCATGTATGCCTAAGGTGTGTATGTATGAACATGTGTACATGTGCATATGTGTGTATATGTGTGTGCTGTGTGTATGCATGTCTATACATGTATGTGTATGGTGTGTGTGCATATGCAAGCATGTGTGCATGTGTGAGGTGTGTATATGTGAGCATGTGTACATGTGCGTGTGTGTATGTGTGTGTGGTATGTGCTCATGTGTGTGCATGTGCAGGCATGTGTGAGGTATGTATATGTGAGAGCATGTGTACATGTGTGTGCATATGTGTGTGTGCTGTCTACACATTTGCATATATGTGTGTGGTATGTGCTTGTGCGTGTGCACATGCAGGCATGTGTGCAAGTATGAGGTGTGTATATGTAAGCATGTGTACGTGTGTATGTCTGTGTATGTGTGTGTTGTGCTTGTCTATACATGTTTACATATATGTGTGATATGTGCTCGTGTGTGTGCATATGCAGGTATGTGTGCATGCCTGTGTACATGTGTATGCACATATGGATGCATGTGGACATGTGTGTGCACACGTTGATATGACACATACCTGCCATTCAGGGCCCAGTTGCCCTCTGTGCTCATCCTGGCCACAGACACAGGGGCATATGAGAGGCTGGGGGAGCAGACCACCGGGGATGAGCTGGGCCCTGCCCGTGCCCAGGGCCGTGGTAGCTGTGCCCAGGGTGGGGAAGCACCTCTGCGTCATCTCCGTGGCTGGCAGGAGATGAAAGCACAAGTTGTCATCTTGGCTCCTGGGGGCGACTCTTGCTGCCCACCCCTACCTTCCCCTTCCCCTTGCTGTTGACCCTTGACCCGGGGGCTCCCGGGGTCCTGTAGCCCTCGACTGGGAGCAGCCTCTCAGAAGCCGGGGCGGTGGTGGCTGGCGATTTTGAGAAAACTTGGCCGCATCCTCTGGGACCCGGGCTCCAGTTGGCCCCTGCGGAGTCCCTGTGCCCTGGCCATTTTCTGGCTGAATGAGTGCCAGACATTTAATCATTGCTCCTGCCACCTCAAATAGATGAGCAGTTAAATAAAACTCAGCCTGGCATAATTCAAGGCAAATACCACTCTGTGCATTTTCTTAAGAGGACATGAGCTGTGTGAATTTTTAGCCAGCCTTTGGAGAAGACGGGTTACAGGGTAACTCAACCCTGGCCGCCATCCTGGGGCACTCTGTGTGTCCAGGGCATCTTCAAGGACCACGCAGCCCCCAGAAGCCTCCAGCCCCTGCACCATGCAGTGAAGCCCAGCCTGGCACCCGCCCTGCCCCCATCGTGGGATGGGTCTCTGTTGGGGTTCAATGTCCCATCCGGCCAATGGCAGTTGGCACTTGGGGCATCTGCTTCAATGGATGGGTCACCTCTGCCTTCTGTGGAAGAATCTGGATGTTTACATTAAACTGATGTTCTGAGAATTCCTACGGACAGGACTGAAAGACTGGTGTGTCCTGGTGTGATATTGCACCCACAGAGACCTGGTCACACTCACTCCTTCCATCATCCACCCCGTCCAGTGGCGACTGCACACACCGAGTCCTCCTGCCAGCCCTCCGCCCAGCTGCCTGCCACATGGGGCCCTGGGATCTGAAGACTCCACAGCAGCAGAGGTGGGGGAAACATCGTGACCTCTGCCCCCTCCAGCTGTGATGCCACCAAGGGGCTGCCTGCTGATGGCTTCAACAGGGTCTCACCTCACCTCTTCCTGCTCTTGGGCCCTCGGTCCAGACAATTCCGATCAGTGCCCCATGAATCTGCTGCTCTGTGATGCCCGCCCAGGAGGCCCTGCCAGGCGTGCGCAGGTGTGCCTCGGTGTACCCTGGCGTGCGCGGGCGTGCCCTGGCCTGCCCACCGTAGGACCCTGGGCGGGAGCTCCCTCCTCATCTGTGTCTCCTGATTTGTGCGTCATTTCGTAGGTTTCAGTGTCTCTGTAAATGTGGTAGAAACGCAGGTTTTGTGGGCATACAGTGTACATTTCTAAATAAATCCCTTATGTTTAATATTCTCGGCCTAAAAGTGACTCTTGTTCAGATGTAGAGGGAGGAGTGAGCCAGTGACCCCAGAGGGGACGATGGGGATGGCGGGTCCAGCTCCTGCCTTCTCCTGGGGTCTGGCTTTGGGGGCTAGCTCTGAAGAGGCTGTGGCCCAGGCCCATGGCCTGGTGACAGGGATTGGAAGCTCTTCTCATCTTCTTTCCTTAAACTTTGTCTCGCTCAAATAAGAACCTTTCAAAAATGTGTCCACCTGGGTCCTTGCCTGGGACTCAAGTATCTGGAGTTGTGGCACACAGTTGAAGGCAAAGCATCCTGAGGAATGGGGCAATTGCGGGCCTGGGGGCTCTTGGCCTGTCCCTGGCGGAAGTATCTGCAGGGGTGGGCCCTGGAGTCCAGGAGCACTGTGGGGGGCTCCTCAGAGCTGAACTTACCCAGTGTCAGCTCATCAATCCTCCACCCACGGGTGGGGTGGCCCAGCCCAGGGAGGACTCACCTCTCAGCCCCCCCATGCACAGTAGGTGTCTGTCACGCCATCCTGTCCAAGGGTGGCAGGGGCGTGAGGGCAGCCCCTGGTCTCCCAAGAGCAGCTGAGAGGACCCCTGTGGGAATCTGGGCTTTGGGTGGGTGCAGTCTGATCTGAGCTGTTTCTGACAGTGACAGAGTGAGAATCTGCAAGTACTTCAAGATCAAAAGTTTAAATAAAACATAAGAAGAAATTTAAAACAACCAAACTGTGCCTCGTCTTGGAAGCCCTGGTGTCCACAACATAAAACATGAGACTGTCCTTGCAAGCGGCCCCCACGGTGCTGTGGGCAGCGCCAGGCTCGGCGTTTGCCTGGAACACAGGGCATGAGAGAAGGAGCAGAGGACGTGGGCACCAGGGAGGGACCCTGGTGTCAGAGCCAGGGCTGGGCCCGAGTTACCCATTAACGGCTCTCTGCTGGTTTCCCTGAAAGAAGTGAAAACGTACACCAGCGGTGGGGCTGCTTGGAGCTTCCACGCACCCCGGAGGCTGGAGGCGGCTCTCGGAGCTGGGTGTGGAGTGAGGTGCCACCCTCGCCCTGCAGTCCCGGCACTCCGTTGCCATGGCTCACGCCCCAGAACCAGCCCCGGCCTCGGGTGACCTTGGGGACGAGAGGCCCAAGTGGAACAACAAGGCCCAGTACCTCCTGAGCTGCATCGGGTTCGCCGTGGGGCTGGGGAACATCTGGCGGTTCCCGTACCTGTGCCAGACCTACGGGGGAGGTAAGTGCCCGCCGGTGTCCTGCGGCGGACCCCAGGCAGGGGAGAACGTCTCCACCCTGACCTGTGGGGCGCCTGCCATGCATCCGGGAAACCAGGTGTACCACTGCCCATGGTAGTCAGTGCCCTCAGGCTCCACCTGCAGCCTTCCAGGACCTCAGGCGGCTTCACCACTGCCCATGGCAGAGTCAGTACCCTTGGGGTCCACTGTGGCCTTCCCAGGCCTCAGGGCAGCTTCCCACAGGGCAGGCTGAATGGGCCACGCCACCCGACACTCACACACTCCAGTGGGCGCTTCCACCTTGAATGCAGTCGGTTCTTTTAAGAACACCCAGTCAGCTGTGGGTTTCCTCGTCCTGGTGGTCCAGACATGTGCTCAGGCACTCTTCCCCGAGGTTCTTTGCAGGAAGCGGGGGGCCCACCCCTCGTCTTCCTGGCTTTGGTTTTCTGGGAGAGCCCTGTGGGGAGCACCGGGTTGTTGAGAACTATTGGGGTGACTTTACTGATCCTGGGACTCGCCACCCCGGAAGCACATTTGTGACTGAAATGGGCTCCCACGCACCCCAAGCGTCCCCTCACCGGGTCACCTGCTTCTCCACATGCAGGAGTCACACCCTGCTCTCCACCTGGGGACACGGAAGGCGGGGACAGTCACGAACCACGGCTCTCAGGAGCCGACGTACCACCTCGCCCACGGACACCTGGGTCTTCCCCAGACGCCACGGGCAGGGGCTTTCCAGGCCAGGCCGGGCTACATGGTCCGTGGTCAGCCTGCCCTCAGCTCCCTCCCCGAGAGCCCAGCACAGCTTTCCCTTGTCATAAGGTCACCCTTTCTTCAAAGGTTTTTTTTCCTCCTGATTAAGAAGATTCCCAACATGCAGAAACACTGGAAATGCGGACAAACCGGAAAAACAAAAAAGAATCACCACTGCCCTCGGGGCGTTGCGGTCTCTTGGATAGGGTGCGTTGGGCCTTGGACCGTCTCATCATGAAGGAGTTCCCTTGAAGGCTTTTCTGAAAGCACCAAAGCCCTAACGCAGAGGGCAGAGGCGTCCCTGGCCCTGGGGCCCTCACCGCCTGTGCTGCGGCTCTGTGGGCTCAGAGTCACCAAGGAGCGTGCAGGGTGGTGGGGGCAGCAGGCTTCACGCAGAGCTGGAAATGCTGGCAGCGCCTTAACTGCCGGCCCCTTACCCGCCGGCCCCTTACCTGCTGGCCCCTTACCCGCGCCGGCCCCTTACCTGCTGACCCCTTACCTGCTGGCGCCTTACCTGCTGACCCCTTACCTGCTGGCCCCTTACCTGCTGGCCCCTTACCCGCCGACCCCTTACCTGCTGGCCCCTTACCTGCTGACCCCTTACCTGCTGGC